CCACCGGGAACGGTGGACTGGGGGCGTTCATCCCAAAGCTGGGCGTTCGGTTCGTGGTCCAAATGAGGAGGGGTCCGTGCTGCCCCGGACTTGTGGATGATCAAGTTATATCAAATGGACAACAAGGGGGAGTGAACGGACGTGTCAAGGAATGGAAAGGACTAATTGTCCATACAATATGCCACCGGACTGGTCTGTTGAAGGTTCTCCAGTTTTCAGACACGTAGGTACAACATGTATATTCAACTCATGTCAGGCCAGTACAGGACTGACTTATCATCTTCTAACCAGTGTGTAGCAGCAGCACGCTCCCCAACTTGCAAAGGAAGCGTCAAAAACGCGCATCGCGAGACGTCAAGGACTTTCTCTCGGCTCCGCAATACGGTAGACACGATCTCCAGTTGTCCCTTGCCGTTGTACCAAAGCACAGCTTGGACAATCCGGAAAGGACCATGGAAGAAGATCCCACGTTCTTCGTGCCAAAACTGGAACGAGAATCGCGAGTTTCATTTGGTGTTCCCTCATGTTCCCTCTGAAGTCATGACCATTGGCTGAACTCCGTGAGCAACAATCACCCTAAAAAGAGTCCAGGACCATTTCGTTGAACGAGGTGACCCCTATGTCCAAACTTCCGAACTGCTTCGGGCAACGTGTTTCTCGTTCACGCATTTGTATCGCATCGAACCGCTGCTCTTCCCTTCACCACCTTCTTGCGAGACTGAGTGGCGCCCCACCCCGGGGGGGCTGAAACGACGACCGATTCTGCGACCGGAAGCGAAAGGCGTGAATCCAAAGGCGTGCCTTTTCACAGAAGACTGGATGATTGGCCAAGTCTGATGGTCTACGGATTCTGAGGCCTGTTATATACATGCCCTTATGGGCGGCCCCAAAGGTCCAGGAGCCTTCGAATTGGTCCAAGAAGGGCCCAGTTCGACCTCAGGAATGAAGTACGAACTCACCTCCAGAACCAGGCTCAGGAGGTACCTGGACCCTGTGGGATGTATATATACATGATATGTTTTGCCAAACATGGGCGTGTCCACTGACGGTTCCCCTTTGAGCCATGCTGCCGAAGGGCCATGACAGAATTCAATGTCCAGTCCAGTCAGGGAACAGCATGGTGCAAATATGCTTCAAAGTGGGACAAATCTGAGGGAGGGTAGGAAAAATGCATCAACAGTGCGATGTGGTTGAAAGACTCCCAGTATAGATTGCCTTGAAATGATTTCGACAAACATGGGGTCAATTGGTGCTTTCACTCACCTGTCAATAGAGAACCCTTGTCTGATGGCCGCAGGTGCCGGCCCTCAAGACCCAGGGACTCGACCGACCGATGGCAGGCCGATGGCCATGGAGCGGGTATGTTTCGACCCCGAGCCAGGTGTCCAGGATCTTGTTGAGGTCAGGAATTTGTTCATGCAGTTCCTGCACATTCTCCTGACCACGGAAAGACTGTTCCGGCGAGACTGGAACCAAGTGTATAGATATTTCCTCGACTAGCTAAGTCTTGGGGATCAACCGGCCAAACAACTGCCTAGTCTTCAGCCCGCTTTGGAAAAAAAAACAAAAAATAGTGAAAACACAACCTGATCATGACAATAATCCCTGTGCAAGGCCCATTGGGAAATGGTGCAACGAATCTTAATCCAGGACTCTCTTGCCCACACCTTTTTTTTTGCAACGTCATCACAACGATCGGTTTGTGCCAAAAATTGCCTGAAAACCAGGGTGGCACACCCAAGCCACAGGAAACCAACAACCACAAGTCGTTGTTGCGTGTTCAAAAACACAGTATATATAACATTTTTAAGCGCTTAGGCACTTGGAGGGATTGGGCATTGGGCATTCGGCATGCCGAATCTTGGTGCACCATGGTGGGTTGGCGTCGCTGAAAAAGCGCACATCTGACACCCAATACCATGCCAGTGCTGCGACTTTTTGTTGGAAAAAATTCAACATTGTACCGCTCCCTTAACATTATCAGCCCCCTCACCTGGCTCATCGTGGACTCCCCCGCCCCCGCAAGCCGGCGCAGCGCGGCCCTGATGTCCTGCAACTTTGCTTGTGATACGCCCTGCAAGAGGGACGCTTCTTCGACGCAGTGTTCGGCGGAGGCCAGCGCGGCCAGGATGACCTGAGTTGCTCTATCCCAGCACATGGTGAGGTGAGTGGCAGGCATGAGTGCGCGATATTAGGCATGACGCCGCCGCGCGGGGGCATGGGTGTTCTGTAGTGCCCAAGCTCGCATTGGCAACGCCAACCCGTAAGACAAAAGCTCCTGCTACCTTAGTACCCAAAGACGCTCCAAGGCATGCGCCAAGCAAAAGCCTTCATGATGAAAGAAAGTGGGCCTCCTCAACTCGCCTCCTCAATTCTCATCCTGGTGTCCTTTTTTCCAGGCTTGCGGAAACGGGTTGTTGTTCTACGTAACTCGGAAGTTTCTCAAAAAGGTGGGCGGAAGTTTCCTATATATAAACTATAGGAAGTGCAAAGTGAGTCCTAGCATCAAGACACTGAGTTCAGCACCAAACACGTCCAAACAGCATATTGTTAAACAAAAAATGAAGACCACACCGAAGACCACAAATTGGTTGGGAAATGAACCTCCTTCAAACATCCTCCATTCCTATCAACAGTTTGGGTCACACTAGTGAATGGCCAGTTGGTCAACAGAAGCTCAAGGTTGTTGCATTGTCCAATCAACATGTAAGATCAATTCCAAAGCGGCTGATTTGTAGGGGTGTCCCCTCAAAAGATCATACCCTTGCATTGAAACTCCTGACAACTCCTGGAACGCCAGGCACACCGGAGAATTGCTTCGTCCGGTTCGCCACTCCGAGGGTCATGTTACATGGTTCGAGGGCGATGTGGTCGACATCGCCCTCGTTCCGGTGGTCCAAAGAGACCATGTGACTCACCCTGCGGTGTTTGGCGATGTAAAGAACACACGTAAAGCCGCATATGGGGCGACGCCGTTGCCAACATGGAGCATGGAAATGGTTCACAACTGTCTCACCATACTCATAGAGAAAGGCAAAGGCACATATACTCTCACCAAACTTCAAACTAATCTAACAAATAAGGCAGCAGGGGGGCCCGACAATGCCAGACTCGTTCGGCGCCCAACATGTCCAAACGTAACGACAACCTTTTGGGTTTAAAGCGGAGTTGGGTGGTCCTCTACTCTTCGACAAAGAGGAACTGCCTGGCCAAACGCTTTCTTTTCCATGAGACGAAACATGGTGTGCCATAGCGTGTGCCATAAATTGGAGTGCTGTGTCCATTAGACTGTTGAACATCCAGTGAAAATGAACGGAACAGCTGGGTCGGGCGGTCCATGGATTCATTTGCTTTCAAAACCCGTGGACTGCCTGACGTAGACCGCATCTCTTCAATTAAGGTGTTCCTCCACAGTTGAATTCGCCTGGACGCGTGACGCGTGGACTCTGGACTCAGGATATCGAATGATACATAATGATACTATATATCCTCCTGAGGATTTGGGGTCATACTTCAGGCAAAACACGGGTGCCGAGTGACCCTTCTATTTGGAAGGTCATGGGAACGAGTGACCCTTATAGGAGAGCGGCCTACTTCATCCGACACCGTCGCACCAGTGGATGGTTTCGAATGCGCGACCGGATTCGGGGTCGGAGCCTCGGCTATGCCCAGGGTGGCCTGGAGTCTTAGGGTGCTGTATTGAAATGATTGATGTAAACTCGTTTGATTGTGATCCCACATGATCACCTAATTCACAATATATACATCTTTGGCTGGTGAAGACCCCTTGATTCCGCCAGCTTGCATTCGGATATACATAACAGGACACCCTTCCAAAAATAGGGAAAAACACTGGTAAGATGATGGACTCACCGGCATGAACCCATTTTGGGGCCCAAGTGATCCTCTTTGCTTTGCCAAGGTGCGCAACTCAGCTTGAGCAACGCCATCTTCTTCGGATTGAGAAGGGATTCGATGGGGGCGAAACGGCGTGACTTGAGCTTGCCAAGGCCGTCGGTGGTGCTTTGTCTTTCATACGCTGCTTTCCAAGCGGGACGTTGATGGGATGAGGAAGCCCATGAAGGCTGTCGACAGTCAGGAACCTCAAAATTTAACCAGCACAAGCATCCAACAGTCCTGAGGTATGTGAAATGTAATAACTTTAGTCAAGTGATTCTAGATCGCAGCTAGAATGGAACAATCTGTCCACGCACCCAGATTCTGCCAATTCACTCCTTTAGGATATCAGTAACTTGGCTCAAGTTAAGTTGGTGACACTGTTCAGCTTCTCAACTGCAGGTCTCTCAACTGCTTTTCACTGTCGGAAGAAACTGCTCGGTACTCCGCTGGGTGAGAATTCGTCCTCTCAAAGCCATGTTGGACCCACAAACTCACATGCGTTGGACCCACAGCCTTTTTGGGGGTCCACGCACGCGGTGTGATTTCATGTGTTTTCACCCCCCCCCCACATCATCCCACAAAAACACACGACACACACCCGCAACCGGTCACCGCCCGCGAGCCCGCGCGGACACGGAAGACGATCATGTTCGCCGACCGAACCAGCAGCGAACCCGGGAGGAGTTCGACTGCGCTTCGGAACGGGTGGGTTTTTCCGCTGCCAACAGAATGGACGACCGGTCGGCGGTCCACCGGTCGCAGACAGCGGGCTGCCACACACACATCTGATCCACACGCAAACAAACAACACCACCTGCAGCCGTCAACGGCTCCTTTCAAGCGTTCTTGAAGGGTGAACATTCAAGGAGGAATAAACCATGAAAAGATAAACGATATAAGCTCCTTGATTCACCAAAACCATGTTGTTCAGGGCCTGAAAAGAACTTCCAGAGCATCGCAAGCTGTTCAGAATTCAAGATATGGTGCAGGTCGTTTGTGCCAACCGTGTTGTATGTGGGCTACCTAACCGGGTGAACCCAAGTCAACCGTTGCCCAGACAACACGGGACAACACGAGACAACACCATCGAGTGGTCGCACCTCCAAAGACCAACGCACCTTTCTCTCAGGGTCATCCTGACAGTTGATTTCAGCAAAAGGGTGGATGTTTTGGGCGGGTCTATTTTGGTGGCAGGCAAAGCAAGTAGTAAAGGGACGTGTTTGTTTTGCCCAACTGGGTGTATAATTTCCAACGAATCCATCTAATTAACCTACATTTGGTTGATTTTTTTTGTTTTTTGACGAACCATCTTCCTGCTCAGCTTATGATGCTTATATGCATATGTTTGTTGTAAAGAGGAGTGCAATACGCACAAGGGGCTGAGGCTGCTTCCTCCCAAAATGACACCTGCACAATTCCCTGGGAAACTCCAAGTTTTAAGCATGTCGGTTTAATTAATACTATATGCAAAAACAGGCACGGTGAGATGTGCTTGCCAGGATCATGTTCTGCGCAGGGTGGAAGGGACCATGCCCGAGGGAGCATAGTTGATTCAAGCATTCCGGAGCATTTCTGTTGGTGTTTTTTCTTCATTGAACTCCTCGTGGGGAAGTTTTTTGACCGTTGCATTCTGATGGGAAATGTGTTCAGGAAACAGGAAAGTGGCAGGAATAACGTCAAATGCATGTGCGATGTTGCTTCGCTGCCTCTGCAAGCTCACAAATTCATAGGTTGGTTAGACCCTCATACCGTCAACGCTGGCCAAATCGGCCTTGATGCACACATTGTTGTGCTGCTAGTGTTTATTCAATTACTTAACACTGGGCCAGGCAGGAACATTGGGTGGATGGCCATCTGCCAACTATGATAAACACCTCGCCACTGAAAACATAGAAATGGCACCAAGTTGGCCCACCTCACTGCTAAGTGAACAAGCTGAACAGACCATCCCCAATTGAAGTTGGAAAGTACATGGCAACATGCAGGTCAATCCATTGCCAATCCCTCCATGCTTCCCAGTCTTTCTCCAGATCCTCCCTCCACCGATCCCGATCACGTCGCATCGCCTCCCAGGTGCCGGGGGCCGTCGAGCCCAGGGCCTAAGGCCGCCGAGGTTCGGATGGAGATCGCAGGGCCTAAGGCCTAAGGCGCATGGCAAGGTTCAGTGGAAAGTGGAGGTCAGAAGGAACATGGTATTTCATGGGTTTGGATGCCACCAAAGATCTGTCTTCCAACAGGATCCTCCCACCAGCAATACGATCCTCCCATACGATACGCACGCACGACCGGATCCGTTTTCGGTTTTGGACCTGTCCGTTTTCTGGTTCTGCACGGACCCACATGATCCACCAGCACAAGATCCCATGCGTCGCTTGGCGAAGCGAACGAATCGGAACGTGTTGACCATCGTTGGTGTCCTGCTTCTCAGCCTCGCTGGCAACCCCAAGATCTTGTTCTTCGTTCTCTTGGGTGACACATGGAGCACACGAAAAGACCTGACCAACCCTCGAATCCAGAAGTCTTACAAGCTACATAATAGCCTCGGCAGCCTAGGCTCAAATACATGCTGAAGTAAGGTTGACATATGCTGACAAACGTCCCAATCAGCGTCAAACCAGGTTTTGGTCACTCTATAACTGGCGTCTCGGAAGCAGGTGGCAACAACTGGAGTTCTCTTTCCATGAACCGTAATCAGAAATGCCATCCCTCTGTAACATCTAGGACCTCAAAATCCACTCACCTCCCTGAAAAAACAATGCATACGTCCGGATTTGGGGGGCCAAATAACCTGCGTATCCGTATATTATACCAGCGCGATGGAATGTATTTGTGGTCAGATTCCGGTCCAACCTCCGGATGTGGTCCAACGCGTCGTCACCGTGCCGCAGCCGTCCTTTGGTTCGACTTCGCCCGGATGCACCGCCAAAAGAAAGGTCCTGACCGGCAGGACCGGACCCGGGGTGAATAGGGGTGTCCGGTTTGGCCAGTGGATGGGATGGGGTGGGAATGATGAATATCATTATGAATGAATATGTTAATATACACAATTATGTATATACAATTATGTATGCAATTGTTGAGTTGGAATGTCGGCATGCTTAGAGGGACACATTGTTTGGCGGCATGAAGTTGGCCAAGGATCCATCCTTAGACTTTGACAGCACTGGAGATTGGGAGATTGGGTGCTACCATAGGTGAGACTCAGCCTTCTCACCTCAAAACTTCTGGCTCAGCCAGTCTGGCAGGTGTCTATCTGTCTATCCCCCGAGAAAAGTAAAAAGACATTGAGGCAAGGCCGATCCGCATTCCCCTCAGTTGTTTTGGGATATCGTTGGTACCTGTTTGGGAGTCGCAACCTGCAAATCCTTCCATCCCCAGCTTGGGGGATCCCCAGCTCAACAAGAAAAGAGCCACGGAAAATATGCCTCGCTCAGTTGCTCGTCTCCAATTCCTTTCCAACGCATCACCACCCTTTTCGGCACTGGACAGTGTGTGTCTGTGTGTCCCTAAAACCCTAAAACCCCAGTCAGTGAGGATTTCACTCAATGCTGTTTCCGCCGGGCCCAAGCACTCAGCACTCCTGGCCCTTGTACTGGAGCCCCGGACGGTGGTTGGGAGCTCGTGGAGAAGCGAAAGTTGTGGGTGTCACTGGCAGCCGAGCGAAGCGAAGAGATGGTGGAGCGATGGTGGAGCCATGGTGAACAAAAGAATGCCTGCATCGCGTGTTCAATAACCTAGGCAAATGCAAACTGGACATGACGCTGTTTTGTTTTCAACGCCTTTTGTACTATAGCTAAGAAGCTACTATAGGGCGGAGGCCATCGCTCCTCTCAGGTGGAGGCCCACTTAACCAGCAACGTCTCGCGTATACTTGGTTTCGCCCCACTTCGTTCCCGGGTTCGTTCGCTTCTGAGGCTCCAGAGAGGTGGGTCCCGAAAGAACGCTGGTGAGAACCAACTATATCGATGCACTGCATCATGGAAAGGAGAAGACGAGTTCGTAAGGAGCGAGCGAATTCCGTGCTACCTTTCATGGTCACATTGCACTGCCACATACCTGAACCATCCAAAGTTTTGAACATGCTATTCATTGCAAACCCAATCCGTATCCATAAGTACTATAGGATCTGCGTCCGGTAGCCCAGCGATGGTGACCCCTTGGATGGTCGTACGGTACCTGTGCGCGAACTCGTCGTCTGTCGACGGGTTTTGAGGGTCAGCCTGCATTTGGGGATCACCAGCAGAGCCTCCAGAAAACAATCAAACTCTCTCTGGATCATGCGTACGCAACCATGTCCCCATCAGCCGGTCTTCGCAAAAAGACAGGCCAAGGAAGACTGGCCATGGAGGACAAAGTCCTGGAAAATGCTGGTGTTCCAGGAAGGTCCTGCAGTTCTCACACTTCTGCAGCACTGGAGGCCACTCTTCCTCATTCCTGTTTTCAGATTGGAGGCCACTCTCTTCGATTCTGATAACACCTCACAGAAACAACTTGGAAGCTGAAAACAACATGCTCAGGTATGTAAAGGAAACACATTACTTGCCAGCCCCATTTCAAGTTGGAAAACATGCTCCAATTTCCGGTTCCAAGAGCTTTCACCAGTCAATTTCTTGAAGGGTCAATCTTCCCACTTGACACCCTGGACCCTTTTTCCATGAACTCTTGAAGATCTTCTCAAACCTCCTCGCACCCGAAAGCTCAGTTCTATAAAAAGCGCCTCTGCCTTCTCAAGCCGATCTCCAAAAGCACTGACTGGACACCCCACCAACAAACCAACAAACACCGCAGCCACCAAGATCCAAGTCGAAACCCTGGAATTCGGACCCCCCGCTCCGACGCAGACGCCGTGGAAGCGGCGTGGGTCAGCGCACTCGCGGGCGACCACAGCTGGCGGAGTTTGGAGAGTCCACCGAACTGGACGAGGGTGACCGGGGTGTTGACTGGTCGAACAAACATGAAGGATGAGGGAACTCCAGTGGCATGGGCCATGATGTTTCTTGGATGGGTCATCACTATATTTCAACGATATGTGTTAGCGGTTCTAGGTGGAATCGACTCTCGAAAGGACGTGAAGTAGCCCTGCTTGGTGATCATTGGATAGACGCAAGTGAATACATGTGAATACAGTGTACTATAGTGCAGCCTTCATTGGCTAATAGTGAGATTAAGGGCAAACATGTACGTATCAGAAATGATCAGAATGATGAACCATTGAGGACCTGTTTCAATTCTATATGAGCTCTTTCAAGCACAGCTGGTTTCACACTTGCTTTCCAAACCTGAAGGTTCCAATCCTGAAAACAGCTCCACTTGGGACCGGTTCAGTGAGTGCAGCCGGTCCGTCCTCCCGCCCACGGTGTTCGGCCTTCGAAGTCCCTCAGGTGCGAGGAGACCTCGAAGGAACGGAGACGGAGGCGGAGACGATGGCGCTACCGGACGATGGCATTTTTTTTTACAGCCAAAGGCAAAGCCTGCGACTAAGCGTGCATAAATTACAAATTAGGTGCAGCAAGAGTAGTGGCCCTACAACAATCCGGTCCCCTTGTAGCCTCTTCATTGAAATCGGCTTTCAGAAGTGCTATTGCTTCTTCAAACCAAGGAGGTACATTCTGTTCAGAGACCGTAGATTGACATCTGGACAGGAAAAGTTCAGCAAAAGCTCGGCACAAGGCATCCGGATACTCTTTGAGTATTGATGTACGCCAAGTACCGTCGGCTTCCTTTCCGATGCGGCCACTCTTAGGCATAGGAGTCGTTCTAGCAGCTACAAAGAACCGAACCAGTTGGTCGTAACTGCCACAATTCGCAAACAGCAAGTCGGTCGGCTTCGGCGAGAGGCCTCCATATAAGCCTTGGTAGATTCTCAACTTCACGCATCCCTCAAACCTTAGCAGGCAGTTGATCACATCCAACCACCAAATGGAAGGAAGATCAGGTCGATCTTCTGGGCAAGCAGGATGCTCTAGAATTGCCACTGCATTGAAAATCAGGGCAAAGAGAAAAAACCTTAGCGTAACTCCAAGCAGTTGGTTTCCTATGGAAACTTGTTCTGACTCGCGTCTCGTCAAAGAGCAGATGCCTTGTAGACGGCTCCTGTCTCGCAAGATACGGGGGCCAGAGTCATCAAAGGCTCGCGCCCTTGACCAAGTCTCGCACGGTGGGCCAGAAAGAAATCCACACAAAATTCCTTCCTTCATCGCCCTCACGAACAGCTCAAAAGTTGCAGGCTGGAGGAGGTTCCCCCATGTGACATCAAAAATGATATCAACCGAAATTGCTGTCGCCTGGAGCCTTTCGATATGCTCTTGAAAATCGCCTTTTCGGCGAGCTCCCGAGAAAAAATGAGCAAACACCTTAGGAGAATAACTCAAAGTTTGCGGGATAGGCACAACAAATGAAGTCAGACCTCCAGCCTCTCTGCGAAAGAAATTCTGCACTGAGTCATGACAAGCTGAGGAATTCTGCATATTCGCCAAGAACCACTCGACACTTGCCTTTTGTTTGAAAGCAGCGAATGCTGACAATTCATGCAGCAGGATCCTTTCGCCAAGCTGGACGACCCATTGGTCAAAGGCATCCAGTATCTCTTCCATATACAAATAGGTGGTACAAGTCGCTCGACGCAATCTTTCCAGCAATGGTTCCTCATGATCCAGCTCTCGCAAACATTGACTCCACTCAAGATGAAGACGGAGAACTTCGTCGTCTGGGCCGATCAGCCTCACATCTGAGGCACGGCATTTGGGGCCTTCAGCTTGCATGAATGGCAGCCTGAAAAGAGACTTCTCTTTTAGTTCAACACGACTGTTGACCGCCGGCTGTGGCTGGACACGGGTCCCTCGCTGTTGATAAAAAGCATAGCATGGCCCTCCTCTTTTAACATGGTTAATCAAGTCTGAATGCAATTCATACTGTTTTAGGCACGCTTCACATTGCGTACCGCTCACGAAAGCTCGAGCCTTATTGATTCTCCCATGCTTCTTGAATGCATGGACCGCCATGTTTGCTTTAGTTTTGAAAACCTTGGCACAAAGCAGGCAACAGTATGTCGAAGCATGAATCGCACCAGGCCCCGTCTCGACAATGCCATTTTCGACAAGGCAATCATAGATCTCCTGATGCCAGCGGTTCCACTCCATATCGAGCTGTTGCATCGATACTGTCCGTGCCTGTAACTTGCGCAAAGTTCTCTTCCATCTTGCAGGACTGCTGGAAATGAACTCCACCATCTCTGTCCAGCGTTCTCTGAGAGGAACAAAAATCCCTGCTTCAGGGCAGTAGTTGTGCAAAACAGCAAGATCATTCTGTAGTTGAACCTTCCACTGCTCATCCCGCCGGAGCAAAGCCCACAGGATGGGTTGGCCGGCATGTAGTAGTTGGCCAAGGTACCTCAGTCGGGACACTGTCAGTACCATACTGGCCTCTGGAAGGCCAAGTTTGTAGAGGAGCCAAGCCCGACTCCACGTCAGCGCAGGAGCACCGAAATGTAGCACCGCAAGCCGTTGATACAATCGATGAAAGGCTGACTCAATCTGTGCAGTCTGACGTCTATTCCTCGGCACCCACACTGCAGCGTTGTAGCCGACTACGCTAAGCACGAGGCTATGGAAAAACTGTCGCTTCTTGGCGATAGTCATCGCTCTGTTTGCAAAGATTTGTGATCGATACTTGGTAATAGCATCATGTGCAATTGCAAATTTCACTTTCAGCTCCCGTGCAATGCCAGCTCCCACTTGTATCCAGGTACCCAAATGGCGGTAGGCACCGACAACCGAGATGGCGAAAGACGAGATCGCAGAAGGGATTGTCAATTTATGACCCTGGAAAACCAGTTGGCGCCTACAACTTAGGGCTCCCTTTCCGCGAAGATCCAGCAGCACTTCGCTTTTGCCAGGTTTCAGATTCGGTTTGAGTCCGGCCTGTTGTAGGCAGTCAAAAAGCAATGCAACGATGCGCTCACACTTCTGTAACAGTCCTTCCGCGGTCACATCATCAAATGCGAGCGCCAGATCATCAGCCCATACAGGCATCACTGGATCAAGGACATGTGCAACATCTCGAGCGCAAAAAGGGTCTTTTTTGCCGCTCCAAGCAATACAGAGGTCTGGGAACTCGGCAGTGATCACTCGGACAGTCCTTCCCACAATCTTCGCCAATGCGAAGCTGAAGCACAGGTCCGCAAAAGAGTCTCCTGGTCTACTACCTCTGCGGGTGTGGACAATGTGCGGATCGTCCCTCAATTTGAACCAAGTTGATTCAAAAAATTCTTGGAACAGTGCCTTCAGATGTAATGGCACTTCCGCAGCTTCGATGGCAGAAGGCTGCTGCATGAGGTCACAAAATTCTGTATAGCACTCTTGTGGCAAGCAAAGGCTCTCGAAGAGCTGTCGAACCGAACGCTCTTCACCCTTGATAGGCATTATGTGCTGTCTCAGGAGTCGGTAAAACGCATTAGATATATCTACGAACACAATTGCAGAGGACTTTCCCTTTCTAATCGCGTGCAGTTGATGCAGGCGAAGTGCATGGACCGGCTGGGTGGTCCCTTGTCCAGGGATCCCTCCCACTTGCAATTGCATCCGTTGTTTTTCGAAACAGCGTACTAAATCTTGTCTATATATTGAGTGGAGAGACTTCCCCACAACACTGCTGACAAAAAGCGACCGATAGTTCTGGACGAACTTGGGGCTCCCCTTTTTAAAGGCCGGTGTAAGAAAACCTCCTTTAAACAGGACTGGCTCCCGCATGAATGCCACTTGCTTACAGAAAAGCGAGAAGAATCTGGCAGCAAGGAAAGCAGGAATCTTGTGCAAGAGTTCTCCCGGGATGCCATCCAGGAAAAAAGCTTTGCCTGGTTTGCATTTTCGGAATTGTCGTTCAAGCTGATACAACGTAGGCAGAAAATCCCATGGCGGGACTTCACTGGCATTAGCCCATCGCCGGTCAGACTGTTGGAGGAGATCCTCCAAGGAAACTTCTGTCCCATCTTCCTGTTCCCCAAAGTACTCTCGCCAGCACGTAAGCAAACTCTCGAACGAATCAACCGTGTTACCTTGCTTATCAACAAGCATTGGTAAAGGCTGAATTCCACAAGGCTTCTTTGCATTACGCACCCCAAGAGCCTGGAGGGCTTGTGCAAAGTCCCGTTGCGACATCTGTGGTTCAGATGTCGCGAGCCGTTCCAAGGCCGCAGTTCGATCTGCTCGCAAACTTGTTTTGAGGTCTTTGCTGGAGGCAGCAGTCCTCCTCTGGAGCTTCCAAATCTGCCTTCCAATGCAAAGCCCATTGCAAAAGAGCTGTCTAAAATTGGCCGGACACCGGTTTTTCAGACAGCGAAAAGCTTCTTGTAAACTCAGGCAGGCCAGAGTTTGCCGCAGACATGAGGTTTGTCTCCGCATTTTCATTCTCGCAGCTCGAATGCTCCAAGTCGCATCAGAGATGTATGACCTTCTTGGTCCATGCTTCTGGGGGAAAGCATTGCACAATCGGTCCGCAATCTGCTGTGTCAGCTTGAGCATATGTTGATCGATTCCGATATGCCAATCGGGGATCTCAATACCTTGTAAAATATTCAGCAGCTGTTCTTTGGTGGCATTTTGAATTGCACGTCGGTCAAAAGCATACACAGGTGTATTCCGCTTGCGAGACAGAAATGGGACCTTACAGAACATTGTCAGAGGCAAATGATCAATTGCCGCTTTGCCCTCATCCAGCGACGTTCGTACTTGTGTCTCAAAATGTGCTTGTTCCCAGGCTTTTGGGACTGCGAAGTAATCACAGCGTGCTCCCTTGTTGGCAGCAAAACTCCACCACGTATGGTGGTCTCCGCAGTGGATGTGCTCATAAGTCGACGGGACAAAAAGATCAAGCATCATAAGAAAGCGCTTGAAACATTGCCCACCGATATCAGTCGCATGTTCCAGTCCAGCATCTCCAATATGCCCTTCAAGGGCAGTGTCGAAATGTGCATTGGCATCGGCACCCACGATGAGATTCGGGTATTTCTGATAGAAAGGTGTCACGAGATCAGTGAGTTGTGGCCAGAAATTCTGAATCACAGCCTTATCCTTCCCGCTGTGGGGCGCATGGAAGGTCAGCAGCAGCAGCTCTGTTCCGTGGATCGCAGTCTTCAAAAGCATGATCTGCGGGCTCGCATGGAAAACCTGCGTCTCCGTCTTGAGAAACAGTGGCTTTCCAGTTCGAGCGTGCACACGTGCTAACCAGATCTCGATTCCGCCGACTCCTTCATGCGCTGCCGCTGTGTATCGCAGGTGTGATTCAGAGACAACAAGCTGTTCTCTTCTTGTCCGTGTTTCTTGAAGAAACAGGATGTCGAGACCATGCGAACTAACTTGTTCCCGCAAGTACTGTACGAAGATGCCCCCAGTCTTCG